TTATATATATATATATATATATATATATATATATATATATAAAAATTCTATAGTTTTGTCAAATTGGTTGTCGGGTGGCGGTCCTCCCTCACTCTCTTCTGCAGATTAATAGCTCACACTTTCCTCTCCCTCATGAGTTACCTCAAAGTCACAACCCCATGACTAACATGTAATCGAAATTCCTTCTGTGTAATATTTGACACAAGTCTTCATATGGAACATCTCAAACAATAACCACTTCCAGCCGCTTACTGATTATGCATCTGACATCATGACTGGCTCTAATCAAATTCCGTTGATGTGTACATCATGGAACTTGCCTATCGACAAAATTAGTTAATTCCTATACCTGATTACAGGCATCCCACACTGATATAGTATAGTAATATTCAATATTACTCAATTACTTTAAATTACTGAGTGATGTGGCTGATGCATGACTCACATTACATCAGAAGGCATACAAATTATATACTCTCTAGGATTTGTCCATCTGTACACATGATCACCAACTGTCAGTCTGCCCAGAATACAACTGAATCCGGACCCAGCGGTCCAAGTTAAGAATAGCAACCGTACCCCAAGAACAGGTACTAAAATGGTAAAAGGGTATGCCAGAATGTTTTAATAAAGAATCTGCTACACAAACAGACACCTGATCTGCAGAGGTGGCTTATTAGGACTTTAATGTGGATTTTAGTTTCACTTTTGAGCAGATGATCATTTTAGTGCTTGTTTTTAGATAATATCTAGGTCTAGGTACTTTGATCATCAATTTTTAAATGAATGAATGAATTAATAAATGTATTCCCCTTCCATTTCATGGATATTACAGGAGCGACTTCTTCTTATCCCAAGCAACAAAATGCACCGTGATATACCACCATGATACGTGTTATAGTAATAATAAATAGCCTCAAATGTGGCCCTTTAAATCCCTTTAAATTATCCTTCTCCAGGTGAAGTTTGTGGATAAGGTGCAAAGCACGATCATGTGACTGAAAATGAGTGGCTTTTCATCTACGGGGGCTCACCTAAAGAAATACATAAAACAAATTAAGAAAAAGGTTCCTCAACTTTGATTTGATCGGAGATAAAACGTTTCATCCAATTTCGGTTGGATCGCATCAAAAAGCACAAAGAAAACTGTGGCAGAGAGCCTGAAACGTCGACTTAGTCATCTCTGAAGTCCCCAGATGACTGCGAAGGTATGTTTGTGTGGGAGGGCCACAAAGAGGAAGGTTACTTTATTTTGTTTAGACACACATTGGGTTGCCTGCTTGGGTTTGTAGCGACGGAGCGCCGATTCACACTGAAAATGGGACCTCTGTCTTTTTTTTTCTTTTTACTTTCCTGCACGGTGTGCCGATTGCGCATGTTGCAAAGTCCGCTTCCTTCCCCACACGCGCACACGAATACACACACACCCCAAACTCACGTAGCAGGCCAGTGGAAAAGAAAAAAGAATTAGTCATTTATCCCTCATGCCATTTTCCAGACCTGAAGGAGTGGTTTGCCAAGGACATGAAGATTACACATATAAATAGGTAAGCTCTGCACCTGGTCAAACTACAAACTGTTCGAAAAGCTTGGCTACAACTCTTCATATCACTGTATTACTCTGGGAACCGACTGGGCACTATGGAATTTCTCATGCTTTGCATTTTAGCTATTGGATCCAGCGTCGTGATGGGCTTTCCCAGACAGCGGTCAATGCTCAGGCAGGTGCAACTGGAATTTAAAAACGTGAACAAGAGCTTGATGGTGAGTTTTTAAGCCTAAATTTTATACATTTATATGTTTTTTTGTGTGCAAATCTTCCCGAATCAGTCCCTTTCTGCTGTGCAGGTAAATTGTTGTCATACAATTAATGTTCTTTCTTCTCTCTGCAGCACAACGAGCTGATGCTGCACACGCCACATACAGATGAGATAGAAGTAGGTGCCAAGGCTCAGTCGCCGTAACACAGGGGATGGGGGTCGCACTTCTGAAGTGAATCATGCACTTATTAGAAGAGCCTTTTCCTGGACATGATTTAATAATAAAAGTTTTCAGGGTAGCAGGGGCTACTATCAGAAATGCTTTTGAGGGTAGTGAGCTTAGGAAGTCTTAGAAAGTCAATGAGTCACAGTTAATGTGTTCACCCGCAACACCAACCGTGGGTGTAAGTTTTCAAAGAAAATTATGTGCAAGGATGTTTGTCTGAAGGCAAATCGGTAGAATAAGAAGAAAACTGAGAGAAATGTATTTTAGGATCTTTTCAGTGAAAAGTTGCTTCACAGAGCATTACTGTAATCTGTGAGGGCTCCAACTTATTGTAAACGCTCTCAGCTCAAGAGAAATTGTTCAGTGGCTCGCCAGTATAAACGAAATTACAAGCATGCAAGATATGTTTGCTGTTTTGCACATACCTCTTGTATCATGTTATATATCTTCAAGAGACACAGCACCAACATGCAAATCAATTTTTTTTATCCCTGACTTAATTTTGCTGACATGGGGAGGGCAATTTAAAAAACACTTTTTCAGTGTAATACAATCCAGAAAGCATATCAGCAGGATTACAAACCTATATCCTGCAGACTCCAGCATGAAATTAAACTATAAGCAAGTCAGCTCCAGTGAGCATTACCCAAGATCTAAATGAAATCTAAATCTAAAATTCTAAAAAAATTAGAATTCCAAGAGTTTTAAAATGTGCCTTATACTGCTGTACAGAGTTACACTTAGTGAAAGTACCTTTTCATGATTTGTGTTTTTTTTTTTTTATCAAACTGCTTTCTTTGCAAATTTCTTTGTGAGGTGCAATGAATCTGTAAGATTCAGTAACTGTTGATATTGAACATGTCAAAGAAGAAAAAATAACACATTGAATGTTCTTAGTTTTTTTCTTGATAAATCTGCAAAAGTCTTTACAGTATTAGAATACCTTAACGCAGGGGTCACCAACATGGTGCCCGCGGGCACCAGGACGCCCCAAGGACCACATGAGTTGCCCGCTGCCCTGTTCTAAAAATAGCACAACTCACCAATGAGCAGCATCTAAAATTAAAATTTATCCTGTTGCTATTCTTCTTTAATCACATTTGCATTGATATAGATTTGAAAATGACAATATCTAAAAAAAGCTTTTAAAACATGTTTATTATACATGAAGGTTAGATAAGTTTAGGAGGCCATTTCAAACTGGTAGCCCTTCGTATGGCTCAGTACCCATGAAGTAGCTCTCAGTTTGAAAAAGGTTGGAGAGCCCTGTGGCTTAACGTTTCCTATAAAGGCTATTAGAGTTCTTTCAGTGAAAAATGCACATGGAGGAGATAAATGTCACAGTTTAGACTTTATATAACTGCAAGAATTAGCTGACAGTAATATGGTGAAAGACACTAAATTCGAGAGGCTAATTTGTGTCTGTTTCACCAAAGGAATATGCACTTTCTAGAATGACAGCTGTGAATTAGTGAAATGCTGGCTAGCCCTGCCAATGAAAAACCTTCTCTCTTGCCTGCGGTTTGATGACCGAGTTCTGATGATAAACTCAGCACCATCATTTTTCTGTCCTTGCAGAACTGCTGTTCGACTAGCGCACTCAAGTGCTTCGTAAAAAGCCTGCCGCAGCTCCGGGTGCCCAACTCCGCTGCCAAAGTCAAGGCGACTCTCATCAAAAACCTTCAAAAGAAAATCATTGTGAGTCGCCTGAAAAGTCCTATGGCATGAATTTCATTGTCTGTTTATACACGACTGCATTCTCATTGCTCGACATGAGGATTTACAGATATTCTTTGCTTTTTTGCTTTGTAGGAAAACAGCGTGAGAACCTGTAGTGCAACTGAAACTCAGGTGAGCAACATTCATTATTCTTTTTTTTTTTTTTTTCATGGAATTGTCTAAAAATGCTGGATATCCCATGCACTTTGTAAAAACCATAAGATTCCAGCAAGAGGAAATGTAGGTTTCTCGCTTGTAGTGGTTTTTAGTTGCATTAAAACAGTTCTTAACACTATCAGCTCAGTATCTGGTTGCATTTCCAGCCGCAATTCTGTTATGAACACGGTTGTTTCCTTTGCAGAATGCAGTCTGCAGAAAGTGCGAGTCATACCCAGAAAGAAGCACCAAGGAGTTCATGGACTCACTGGAAACGCTGCTTCAAATGGTGAGTTTCGCCGCACTGTTTTGGACACAGGCTTAGTCATGCTGTGCATGTTGCCAGCAAGCAGTGACCTTATTATCGCACGATTACAGACGCTGGAAAGACTGAGTTGAAGAGAAGATGGGTCTGCAAACAGGATATCAAGACACTATTCCACAAAGAAGATGAAGGACGTGTTGATTAGAAGTTCATGATCAATGTAAAACTTATTTATTCATTATTTATTAGTGTAGTGTTTGTACATGTTTATGTTAGTTTTCTGCTGCTGAGCTTGGAGTTTATTAAATAATAACAGCCAAAAGTAAGGTCTGTATTTCACGTTAAAAATTCAAAATCTCTGAGGAATCAAGTGATAAATATATTTAATTGGTCCTAAGGGACAAATGTATTAAAATATAAACTGTACTCTGGAGAATATAAGTATTGATCCCACAACTTCTCACATGCTAAGCTTGCATTTAATAATTAGAGCTAATTCCTCTTCAAATGAAAGACACTGTATAAATGTACCACAAAACAGTGAGAACTGATAAATAATAAGAATCCTCAGAGAATATTTTATACCAGCATACAGTCCACACTGGTGTAGGTTTACTCCAAATAATCAGCATGTAAAAAGTCTCAGCTTTGTGCTCCAGCACCACCAAGTGGAAAATGCGTGCATTGTCAGGGGTGAATCCATCTGTTATTTATTTGTTAAAATTACGGAGAAGTGCAAACCGTGTTGTTTCACCTTCCATGGGAGACTAACCCCGAACTTCACTTTGGCATTCTTTGTGTTGTTCGGATGAAGTCATATATAGAGAAAATAAATATCTCACAATGAGATAGAAAATAGTTTGTATTATTATACAAAAATGGCATAAGAAACTTGTGCCCATCTTTATATTTCCATTTTGTGTATAATGTTAAATGAATTGTATTTATTAATAAAATGATTTAAGTACATTTCTGTTGTAATTGGGTGGTACGGGGCTGTAACTGGCTGCAATTCAAAGGGAGCACTGTGCTTAAGCATCCATCCATCCATCCATCCATCCATCCATCCATCCATCCATCCATCCATCCACCCACCCATTCATCCATCCACCCACCCACCCATCCATCCACCCATCCATCTTAGAACCACTTTCCCTGAGCAGGACACTGAGATGGCACACCAAGCAGGTCACAAACTCTCCGTCTCCAAGGCCACAGATTCTACGTCCTTCTAGGGGATCTCCAGGCACCCCAAGCCCCTCTCATCCCGGGACACCCAGGTGAAACCATCCCAGCTGACTGTAAATCACCAAGCCAATCTTCATACTTTATTTTTTTATTTATTTATTTTCCAGAATTATTGGCAATCCCAAAGAAAGAGAAGTAAAAACAATAACATAAAATAAAAAATGCATATAAGAAAGATTATTCCCCCAAAAATATGCAGAAAATTTTAAAATATTTCATTTAACCTTTTTGTTACCAGGCAAGATATTAAAAACAGTTTCTTATTTACAATAATAGCAAAACACACTTGTAGAGAAATGGAACGAAAAGGAGGGGAAAAAACGAATTTATCTAATACATTTATCTAATAAATATAATTCCTTCAAAAATATTGTGTTATTTTCAGTGACAGAACAACTGTACACTGGGCCCTAGAGCAAAAATGGACCATGCCCCCCCCCTTCCAAATTCAAACCTAGGGCCTGCCTATGCCAGTTGCAGTAGTTACAGATGATTAAATTTAAGTAACCTCCAAATATCCTACCCATCATGCACTGCAGTAGTCAGCAAATCCACAAACATGCTTTTTTTATTAAATACACACCTCGACAACATAGTTTGACAACAAAATATTACAAACTATTGCATTTCAAAATTGTTTTAAGTATTGTACCAAATATTTTTTATGACTACCCACCATAATTAAATGGCATACATGAAAATGAGAGATATAAAAGTATTCTGTCAAATACTAACACAATTTGTATAATACCAGGTCCCTAATCCCGACAAATGATTGGTGAGTATGTGAGGTTTGCACTTAATGTCACCGGGTGCCTACCAATCCTGCTGTTATGATATTCACAATTGAGAAATCTTTCAAGAACGCATGTTGCATAATTATTGGCAACCAACCAAAGAAATCTGCATCTGTGGTGGGGAAAAAAATGTCTTTATATGCTCCTGTTGCACAGGAAGTCATATGTTTTCTACAACCATTTCCTGTTTCTCTTGGGTACATATATGACGTCTCACGTGAGAAAAAAAATCATAGAGCATTCATCTAAAAGGTGATTAAAGGTTGTTACCTTCACAAATTAGGTAAGGGCAGAGTTCTGGTACTCGAGTCCAAACTTGGTCTTGTCAAGTCCATCCAAGTCCACCGTCTATGTCTGCATCTGCAGCAGCTTCCCCTGATGTCTTATTTTAGCTTATCAGCATTGTGCACATACCCATGCAGTCAGCTCATGTCTGCCAAGTCAACAATTATCCACTTCACATAAATAAACTATAAGGAGTTTCTGTGCAAGACATCCCGGAAAAAAATAAGCACCATTCGGAATACAGTTATTGCAAATCATCAATTACTGAGGCTGCATGCTGTTAGAAAAGAAAAAAACTTATATTTGAATTTTTTTGTGATAAATATTGCAATGTATTTATAAACCTACAGTCTGTCAAACAGGTTGGTGCTGTTGCCGATAAACCACATTCATTTGCTCAATATCGTCCATACAGAATCCAAAATATTTCCAAACAGCAGAACACGAATGTCTTCAGGTGAGCAGTTTCTGTTTGCGTTTCTCCTCCTCACTAATTTTTGTTAAATTTCTCACAAATTTGCCATAATGTCTGAGTGAATTTGACAGCAGGGACAAAATTGATTATGATTGGCTCAGAAAGCGTATGCACCGTTCATGGAAAACCATTGACGGTAAACTTTAGATTGATCTTGTAACATAATTGTTTCAAGCACAAATGACGGCAACGCGATCACTGGAGAACACATGTATTTAGCAACTCGTAACGTACATAGCATGTAACAGCCTCGGGACACGAGTGCCAGATAATAGACAGCACCCGAGCGTATTACATGTGTAAAACAAACGTAAGCGTGGGGTATGCCACTAGATGGCAGTCTGACCCAATAACAATAATTCTTAATAAACCAAACCTTAATAAAAACCAAAGGAGCTGGTTATTGATTTCAGAAAAAATAAAACTGACATTCAGCCAGTCACCATCGCCGGTTCATATGTGTAGAGGGTCCTAGTGTTCAGGTTCCTGGATATTGAATTGGAGGTTGACCTGCCCTGGAGTGTTAACACTAAGGAGCTGCTGAAAAAGGCGCAGCAGAGTCTGTATTTTCTGAGAATCCTCAGAAAGAACCTTCTCGCCAAAAATCTGCTCCTTGTCTTTCACCAGTGTTCCATCGAGAGCGTACTTACATACGGACTCTGCGTGCGGTACGGACTCTGCGTGCGGTACGGACTCTGCGTGCGGTACGGACTCTGCGTGCGGTACGGAAGCTGCTCTTCCTCAGACATGAAAGCTCTCCACAGGGTCATCAGGGCAGCGGAAAAAACAACTGGCTGCCCTCTACCTACCCTGGAACAGATCTACACCTCCCGATGCCGAAAAAAAGCTATGGACATTTTACATGATTAATCACATCCCGGTCACTGTCTCTTTCAGCTTTTGTCATCAGGCATACGAAGCATCTTGTTCCCACTGACAGATATGGGTAACACTGTACTTGAGGGGGCACAAATTTAAGTCAGCATCATGTTTAATTGTTTGTGCTGTGTTAACTGTCTGTGTACCTTTGCTCTTTTGCACTAAATGTATGTTCGTCTGTGCTCTATGTACCTGCTGCTCTATGCACAAGAATTGTCTTCTTGGATCGATAACGATCGTTTCATCTAATTTAATCTCTCAGCTGTTTTTCGAGGTCCTGAAATTCATTATCAACAGTGTCGCTTTGTGGCCATATCGGGTATTACAAGCATTATCTCAGATTTTGTAATGAAAAAAATAAAGTTTTTTTACGTTTTTTTTTTTTAAGTACGAGAACAGGTACGTTGAAATATGCAAAAGTATTTTTAAAAAAATAAAAGTTAGAAGTAACTTTTCTGTGAAAGGATGTATGCACCCCACCTATGGCGCTTTTCCACCACACAAAGTAAGACCGTATACCTGGTGCGGTGGAAAAACGCCCCTAATGTGCTTTAAAGGCGTGTTCACTCCAAATTCCAGCTGACCAATAGACGTGTAAACTGCTAAGGCCCGCCCTCCCGTTAAAACAGTGCCAGAAGTCAGAAGCAAAAAAGCGATCCAAAAGCAAAGAAAAACATTCCAGAAGCAAAAAAAAAAATATTCAAAAGCAAAGAAAAACATTCCAGAAGCAAAAAAAAAATATTCAAAAGCAAAGAAAAACATTCCAGAAGCAAAACAAATTAGAGAAGAAGGAAAAAATGATTTTATTCGACTTTTTTGATATTTGGAATACATACTTTCATTCTGATATTTAATAATTTGCTTGCGGTTTTCAAAATTTTGATTAATACTTTTGGCATATATTTGCGGCCTTTGAAAGCTGTCATGCTGCCTATGAAAGTGGGCGACTGCCTGCTCCGCTGCTGGCCTTAGGACGGACGCGGTTGGTCCTTGTTGGCGCCGTTTTGTCCGATTGAGCATGTTTTGAAAAAGTGTCACTAACTTGGTCAGCTGGCTGGCGTGAGATTTTCAGTTTGAGACGACTCCGCACACTCATTTACATGTATGTAACAGGTTTTTTTTTTTTTGCAAGCTACCAAACACTTTAGATGCAGTTAATAGTTTTATAATGGAATAATTTAAATTTGCCGTTCTTGCGTGAGAGTCTGAAACCGTGAGTGTCACTGCAGATGCGTGAGAGTTGGCACCCTTTTTAACCACCTGAGCACGCCCACTCCATGATGCTTCAGAACATCTCAACATGGCGGGAAGCTCCGGAGCCAGTTTACAGCATGCAATTGCATCTTTGCAGTTCTATAAAAGTGTACTTTTGTGAGGAATCGGTGTATGCAACATATTTCGCGTTCATAAAATGTCACCAACCCATCCAGTTAAGTAACTTTCGCTATTCCATCAACGCGTTGACCAGGGAAGCTATTGAAAAGATGAGGTGCTAAGTCAAGTTTACCTGAGGCACCGCGGTTAAGTTAGCCTCATATTCGATATTCAGTTTTCTGGCTTTAATAACTTTTAACGGAAGTAAGGGGGGACGTTTTAATGACAGAATTGTGATGTCCAGTACAAAGACAACGATGCACACCGATTATTTTTGCGCTTCAAACCATTTCTTGATTTGTGCAAAATCGTGTTAGTAACTAGTATAATAGGTCCTGTCAGCTGTAATGACATGATGGTTTAGCATTTTGGGCTCATGGCGACTGTTGCACACCCCTTTGTTTCCCAGATTGCTTTACGTACTGTTTTTAATTAATTTTTCAATGTTCGAAGGTATCCATATAATGTACAATGGGACAATACATGAATGGGTTAATAACTTTCTCTCTAACAGTTATTAATTAATACATTGTATGTATATTACATGCCATTGGGGCAAAGCACTAAAAGGTTAAAGCCAGAAAACTGAATATCAAATATGAGGCTAACTTAACCCCGGTGCCCCAGGTAAACTTGACTTAGCCCCTCATCTTTTCAATAGCTAGAAACTTCCCTGGTCAGCGCGTTGGTGGAATAGCGAAAGTTACTGAACTGGATGGGTTGGTGACATTTTATGACCAGTTAAAACTGTGCCAAAAGTCATAAGCAAAAAAGCGATCCAAAAGCAAAAAAAAGAAAATTCAAAAGCAAAGAAAAACATTCCAGAAGCAA